CTGAAAAAGAAAGCAGGAGATCAGTGAAGCTCTTATTATTTGCATTGTGGCAGATTTGCTTGATTTCAGAAGCCCAACAAAAAGGTGGGACTTTTGAAACAAGGCAGTAGGCAAATGCAGACACACCCTCATTTGTATTTAATTAGTGATCTGTAGACATGCTTATACGGGAGGCATGCACACACGTACACACACATATAGAAAAGATGTGTTCCATGAGGAAGAAACTTTTGATACTTGAAATACAGCTTAAATTCTCATCCTGGTAGTGCAGAAAGTGCAATATTTCTTTTAAAATGGAGATTAGGTCTAACACCATATAAAGAAGATTATAGGAAAGGTAATTTAAATTGTAAGTAGCTTTGTTCACTAAAGTGCTAGATTCATTTGAAACAGTGTTTTCTTTCTTTTGGAAGCCAGACAACTCATTTAATAGTGTACATATGAAACACTAATTTGGCTTGTTAATTGGATGCAATTAAACTGAGGTTATTTTATACTGCTTAATTGTCTGAAAATTACATGCATTACCATGCCTGTGTAGTGTGAGGCAAAAACTGGGGTAGACTTGGAGAGGGGTGGAGGTGCAGACGGTCTAGTTGTGTCTTTGCACTGAACTTTCTGTAAAAATTTAGAAACGAGTCATTTAAACGCTCCGGACTTCATTTGGTAAGGGAAGGGATCAGAACAGATGGCTTCTAAAGCCTCTTCCAACTCATATTCTATCAGTTTATAAATTCTACTTTGTAGTTCTAGAGAATGCAGTGTCATTATATTCTGTAATTATGGTATTACAAGGATGAACCAAACACTTTAAAAAAATCAGCACAGTGCCAATTTAGAAAATCCGTTAGAGGGAAGGGAATTTGGGCTTACGGAGCAGGCGGTTTGTGCCATGCTTCATACCAGGCACTCTCAGTAACAACCCCAATAATATTTTGGTATTTTATTTTCATGAGTATACTTAGGAGATGAGATTCAGAAAGGTTACATGGCTTTTGCAGGGGCACTCTGGTAGTCAGTAGCGAAGCAGAATTTGAACTCAGGGCTATTTGGCTTCAAAACCACTGGGTCTTTTCACCATTCCATGCAGCCTAAGCAATTGTTAAACATTGAGATTATGTCAACAATTATATTGTCAACTGTTTTTTACCACTTTTCACAGTGATTTCCCCTAGTGATTGATGCACATCTGATGGATATAGGTAACCTAGGACCTATGAACCTAGATTTGAAGTCGGACAGAACAGGATGGATTCCAACTCCACTGGCAGCTGGGGGAGTTTAGGAAAGTCACTTAATCTCTGGAGGTTACTAAACGAGGGTGATATATCTGTTGAAGAATCATTGCAAAATCTTTAGGAGAATGTGTGTACGCATCTGATGGGTAAATGTGTAATTGTAAGTGTGTAACATTGTGCACATTTACTCATTGTCAATGTGTAACACCTGGTAGCTGTGATTATCATTACAAAGAGGTTAGACCAAAAGAAAAACACAAAGAATCCCAATTGTTGTATATGTTTTCAAATGGTCTATTAATCTCTTGATTGAAATTGGTTTAATAAATGATACCAGAATGCACATTTTTCAACAGTTAACAAATGGAAATATCAGTTACAGTTTTGGGTATTTCTTACTGAGTTCAGCCGGTGCTGTAGTAGTGAAATGAACTGAATTCTCTGGTTCTCTGTGGATCATCCTGCTGGAGTTTTGGGTCTAAAAATAGCCTTTAGGGCCTTACTTATCCAAGTTGAACTATGTCAATCTCAAGAGCAGGGGAACCAGCCTCCCTTTCGGGGCCTTGGATGTGCTTAGGAGACACAACCGGAGTGTTCTTGGAACTGCTGACTTTTAAACAGACATTTATTGACCAGACAAAGATGTATTAAGCACCTCTTTTAGCAGAGGTGCTATTCTAGACACTGGAGATTTATCAGTGAACAAACTAGTAAAAACAGAGGAATACATAATACCCTGCCCTCATGGCCTTTACAGTTTTTGGACTAATTTAGAAACTTTTTAGGCCAAATTCAGTCCTTGCATTACTTCCCAGTGGTTTTATATTGGGTCTCTAGAAGCAGTGCGAGGCTTAGTGAGTCACTAGTGAAAATATCTCATTTATTGTTTCTATGTATTTTTCATAGTAAGATAGTGTTGAAGAGGAGCTGTTTTTACATAACTCCGTATTATAGCATTCGTTTTAAAAAATTTCTCTTTATGGTTCAGGATTATAGCTTTTTATAACCTGTAGAATCAGGCCCTTGTGACTGTTTTACAGGGGAGAAGAGAAAATGCTTTATAGATACACTGCATTTATAAGTAGTTGAAGTGAAGCAATTTCCACAATGTATATTGGAGTGCATATTTTTAATCTTCTGTAAATGATTTTTTTACAGATAACTTTTGTTATAAAATTTATGTTGGGTTGTGATGGTTCTACCGCCACAAACCATATGGACAGCACTGTGCATGTTATCCAGGGGACATGCAGTAGATATTCGGTGAATGTTTAAAGTCATCATTCACAACTCGCTTCAGCCTAAATGGTAAGAACAATTTGATCCAGTATAAGATGGGGGGGCAGTCATCAGAAACAAAAGAGGGATGAAGTCCAGGTTAGTCTTCATTCCTATAGCCACAGTCCATTCACCTGCTCCTCCTGACGTCAGCTATTTAAGAAGTCGTCCAGGAAACCGCTGCCTCACCTACCCACCCAGCAGTCACAGCCACTTCTTAGAGTCGTAGCCAAGGCCTCCCTGGGCTCTGTACTTCCTGTTCAATTTTCCAGCACTTGAACAGCTGGGGCCACCTTGAGCTCATTTTTCTCTTCAGTTGGGCAGGGCGGTTTACAGTTGAGCTGGGGTTCTTTCATGGAGGGCAGTCCTCTTTGGCCATGTTTTGTTCAGGGCCCTCTGAACAGGGAAGCTGTGTGAAGGGGGTCCCTGCTGGGTTTGAGGAAGAGTTGGTGGGCCTGCTCAGATAACTTCATCAGAGAGAGGGGATGTGTTCCTTTCTTCCATTATGTATCCTTGTCTGTAGAGCAAAGAAGGATGAGCTAGTGAAAGCTTGAGGGGCGACTCTTGTCCTCTCACTTGAGGCTGGCGAGTAGAACTGTCTGCAATCTAGCAGTGCCCCGTGGGACAGTGCTGCTGGCTGGCCCAACACTTTATGGACAGGTCAGGAGAAGTTCGGCTCTGAATTATCCATGGAACAATGATCAAACTTCATTTTTCTTCTCCTGGTGCTTACATTTTGAATAACTTCTGTTTCTGTAAGCAAGGGAAATATCCAGGGTTCTGAGTGTTTGGAGCATTTTCTTGTCATTCAGTGTGTTTGCCATGTGTCAAAGTTTATGTTGGGAGAAATACAGACTTCGGGGAGAAAATGAGGATTTCAAATATGTTGTCTGTTCTTGCTGTGAGGCTGTGTTCAGGAGGGTCCACACCAGGGTTGCAGAGGACACCCCAGCTGCTGATGGTAAACTTTGACCCTAGTAGTATGTTGCTTGCCTTGTTATTGATTTTCAAAATGATGCAGGCGAAGTGGCTATACCTCGGTTATGTTTCATTGTGTCTTCATCTGTAAAACTGAGGCATTTGTTTAAAGTGCTGACGTGCCTCCTGGGAACAGGAGGGTAACATACAAGAGAATTGGAGTGGCTATTTTTGGAGGACGTGAAGAAACACTAAGTTTGAGAATAATTCAGTTGTTGAAACAAAATTTGATACACAGCAATACATTTTTGATAAGGGTGCGGTAGAGTGTTCTTGAGATAATTGATTGCTATTGATGCAACTTATTACAGGCACATGTAATTGTTTTCAGAAAGATGATGGCCAACAGCTCTAAAGCTTGTTGTAATAATCTTTGGTGCATTTACATGTTGTGTAGTCACTAATGCACACGCATAACAGAATTTTGAGATAGCTATACCTGTATTCAAGCAAAAGAACAGGAATCTAAAGTCATTTGTTTACTAATTTGTCGTGTATTTACTTGTCAATGGCCTCAGTAATGTTCATGAAAATTCAATCAAATGTACCTTTTAAAAAGGGCCAATCCAAGTGCCTGAGAATATTCAAAATGACCTTTTAAAATAAATCACCTGACAGTAGAGAATACAGAAAATAATTGGATGCTAAATGCGGAGATTAGGTTTTCTGGTGGACAGACTCCAAATCTGTTCAGTCATCAGTTGATTGTTGGCCATGTTTGGTAGGAGTTTGCTAATGTTAAACCTAATGACGCCTGAAAATAGTTATGATGGGTAATACTAGAAGATCTGCAAAATTTTAAATTTTAGCTGATTACTCCAAGAATTTATATTGTGTGAAAAATGTTGGGAGAAACATAGACTTGTAGGAGAAAATGAGGATTTCAAATATGTTGTCTGTTCTTGCTGTGAGGCTGTGCTCAGGAGGGTCCACACCAGGGTTGCAGAGGACACCCCAGCTGCTGATGGTAAACCTTGACCCTAGTAGTATGTTGCTTGCCTTGTTACTGATTTGCAAAATGATGCAGGCGAAGTGGCTATACCTCGGTTATGTTTCACTGTGCCCTGATAATTAGTCTTTCTCTGTATTCTTACAGTTCTTATAGAATGGGAGCAATGCGAATCACATAGAGGGCATTTTTAAATTAGTAACAAATTTGCCCTGGCTCTGCTGCTTGCTCTGTTAATCCTTCCGATAGCTGTAGAAGTGAACAGTATCTAATGGTATACTCAACGTTTGTGATCTCCTTTAAGCCCATTGGGTTTTATAAAAAGATTTTATTTATCTTTAGAGGGGAAGGGAAGGAGAGAGGGAGGGAAATATCAATGTGTGGTTGCCTCTCTTGGGTCCCCTGCTGGGAACTGGCCTGCAACCCAGGCATGTGCTCTGACTGGGAGTTGAACCGCCATCCTCTGGTTCCCAGGCCCATGCACCGGCCAGGGCAAGCCCATTGGTTTTGGTTTAAATTTCATAAGAAAATTTCTACCACACACAGTTGTGTAAATCAAGTTATTGTTCTTATCTCTGGTGTGTAAATATTTCCTAAAAATATTTTTTGAGATAGAAATGGGATCCTGAGGGTCTTTTGGAATATGCAGATGGCTTGCTTCCTTAGTCAGTGTAACCTTTCCAAGTGCTTCTTCCCAGAGGGGTCAGATCTTGGCTTTGAGCAGGCCGCATCTTTAGTATCCATTTAGCATTTAGGAGAAGTTTTACTTTTTCCTGTCACTCTGCTACAATTTATAGTCATACAGCGATGACTTATTTAGGGCATCTTCTAAATGGTCTAATTTAAATTATGCCGATTAACTTGCTCAGGTGTAGAATCTGCTGTATTGATTTGTCAGATGGTGACGGACACGTGCGGTGTAATGTCTTTCATAGAATTGCAGGATTAGAGAAAACCATCGGAGGCACCGTTTAATCCCCAGCTGAGTGAGGAGAAATCACTCAAGACAGATCGCCCAGTAGTGCCGGCATTCAGTCCCTACTCAAACACCTCCTCCGTTCTTAGGGAGGCCTCTTCCACTCCCGGAGGCTTCAGTCAATCAGCAGTCGAGTGCTCTGCAGTTATCTAGAATGAGTTGGCTCATTGGCTTGCAGGACAGTCTACAATTATGTAAAGGTAGTGCTTGTATTCCCCTTAAATATTCTTTTCTCCAGGCTTACTATTCATAGCTCCTTCAACAATACCTTTTATTATGTAGTTTTCATTTTTATTTTATTATTTTCTTCAGGCATCAGGCTGTTCACGTCTGAAATTGACTCCAGGCTATGTTTGTTACGAGTCTTAAAAAAAATAAATTGCTTATCTCCGGTTACTCTTCAGAACATAGCCTCTTGCCAGCTGGTTTAGAAACGTTTTATTGAGAGGCGTAGACGTGCTTGCTGAGACTTTTACAGCTGGAACAGAGTTGGAATGTATAATAATATAATACGAATCCATTTGAACAAATGTAGTTATTGAGGTTCTGGCGTGTGTAAGATACACGGGAATACAAAATACAATAGAGATGGAAATAGAATGTAAGATACAAAGAACAGTGCTTCACTATTTTCAATATCAAAGCTTTCATAATTTACTATATTAAAGCCAAGAACTATGCAAGGGGAACTGTAATTAAAAGCAGCATTTTAAATAGAGGTATATATGAGGCACAAAGTCACCCCTGGCTGATGAGATCCCAAAAGATTTCATAGCAGGGGGGGCTCCTTCAGATAGGCCCTGATTGTGACAGGTACCCAAGTGGCAAAGTGTAAGGGTGTTTTCAGAGCAGTATGTTATTTGAGGGCATATCAAGTGAATGTTGTTAAAAAAAACTTAGAATGTCTGGGATATGTTGTCTAAGGACTTGGATTCCAGCTGAAAGAGTTTGTACTCACAACAATACATAACAGTGAACACACGTGCTGTAACACATCAAAAACTTGGTCCCTGATTTTGGCATTTCCATATGTTTTACAAAACATTGTTAAATAAAATAAAATGGAAGAAAGATATGTGAAAACTTCTATGCATAAATTATATTTTAGTTATAAAGAGTAGGAAGGGTGTATATTTTGCATGTAAGACCTAGTGGTTTTGAATTAGATATTATTATTACCTTCTTTTTCCCAGAAGCCCAGCAGTTTCAAGGACACTAACAAATGAAAGAGGTAAAGTGAATATATTGCTGATGCACTTGCTGTTATCCTCATACCCGTGCCGGTTATTGGTACCTTTTCTATTTACTACTCTTTGGCCATATAAATGGCATGCCACACTGACATCAGGGTGAGCGCAGATGGTTGCCATTTTAGTACAACATAAATTAACCTTTTCTTCACTTTATATTTTCTGTTGATTAATGGTGGAGATACAGGACTTTGGGAAATATTACTATGGGGGTGTGTTACTTGTAAGAATGCTACCTGTGTAGTACCAGATAGAGTATGCAGTGAGTTTTATTGTATCTTAATGATAATTTTGAAAAATATTTTTACTTTAGCTCACCTGTCTTTAGTATCTATGAGAAAACTCTCTTCTTTTAATCTACCCATGCAGGTTGCTTATTAATCCGCATAATGAATAGTAGTGATGGTGAATACCAAGGTGGACACGTTTCATAGAACACGTGGACCTGTATGCAGAAGCAGTACATTATACAATAGCTAAAAGTTAATGATTATATGTTACCAAAAGAAAAGTTACCATTTCCTCAGTGGATACTTTGATTCTGGAACTTATAACCACTGTGGCAAGTAACATTTTAGACTTAGTCACTCTTTTAGTCTCTGGAGAAGTACACAGAGCTTTGTGAGGACGAGGAGAGAATAGGAATATAATGTAATAAAATAACTTACACAGTTCATTAATTTTTAAGTACACTTGAATGCCTGTGGGGACACTGAAGTTTCAGTAACAGTTGATGATAGGCCGTCTGAGCATTTACTATTCTTTAGACTTTATTGACGGTCTATCCTGAAGTATTAAATGTAGATGGAGACTGAAGGAGAAAGAGTACTCCTTTCTGCATAGGAACGAGCATTATATACATGCACTCCCATTTGAAGAATGTATTGGCTTTGACCTAGAGGCTGAAAGGCGTGAGGTAATGGTGCGTCTTCTTATCATCTAGAGGAGGGAATGGACGGTGTTCGAGCCATCTGTAGGTCTGGGGACTGTCTTAGCATCAGGTGCTGTACTTTGTATAGTTACCCAGGCTTGAAGGGATCAGAACACAACTAATTTGTGCTAAGGGCCATTTAATAAAGAGAAAGTTGTCGTTATGGGGGCAGTTTGTAAGAAAAATAAAATCATGGGGCTTGAAAGTACTGAAGTAGAAAAAGGATCATTTTGGAACCAAAGATTGTAAACCATGTAAGGTTTCTCATGAAAGTTTTCTTCATTCATGTGTGTGCATACGTGTGTCTGTGTAATGCACTTGTGTCTTTGTCCCTGTTCACTCGGTGAGCTATAATCTTCACTTGACTGTACTGTGTAATTGACTCTTGAGCTGGGTTCTGGTTTTATGGAGAACTGGCCCCACAGGAGCACTGCAGCCTTACACTGGCGTGGAAATCGACTGTGGCCCTGAGAAAGAAGGGCACCCTGGTCGTTTTGCCAAGTATGCTTCTTGGGAGCCAGTTTTCTGGAAAAACGACAGAGGATTGGGGAATGCTCATTTGAGAAGAAGAAAACTCAATATGGGCTCTTACGAGAGAAGAGTAAGAACTTACTCTGCCATTCTGAACATTTTTAGAGATGTCAGCTTGTGAGGCCAGTCAGCCTCTCAGGGTCAAGTTACAGCAAAGCCTGTGCATCATCTAAGACACGGGGAGGCTCTTGTTGTAGAGAACCGGGATCTCAGAAACATGGAGACCCAGAGAATTACCGCAGCCATCCACGAAACCATCGTTCTCATGTTGTAACTAAGTGAAACCAATCCTGAATTAAACGATGAGTTTTAAGAGGGTTACCTTGGGAAACAGCAAGTCTCAGTCCTTCCGGTTGAATGAAATGAATATATATCACTGGGTTGGAACTGTGCGCTCTCATAACATACTTGGAAGCATAAAATATGAGCATTTAAATTTTTTCTGGCAATTTCTAAAGATGAAGTGAAAAATATATGTTATCCTGAAAAACATCCTTTTATTCTCATAATTCATTTGTTCTCTTTCATGATATAAAAGAGATGCATTTGAAAATAACACCAGGAACTTGAAGATTTCACATTTTGTTATTATGATTTATATTTTCAATGATGTATTTTTTCACAAGTTGATTTATTTCATTGCTATCATCCTGGTCTTTATATTCCAGTTTATACTGAAATTATGGTAATACTGATTTCATTTAGTCTGAAATTATTATTATAAAATAGGATAATATTTACTCATCCTTGTTTTGTCTTTTCCACATGCCATCGCCAGCAACTAAGTATAAACCAGAGAGTGAGAATTCTGAGTAAAATCTTCCGCAAGCTCCAATAGTATTCGGGCAGTCACTCGCAGCTTGTGGAGTGTTAATTATATACCACTGGCTGATGATGTAAAGGAATAGGTGAGATTATGCTCTAATGGAAAACACAGGATCACTGCAGGGATTTAATGCTTAAATTAATGATTGATACGGGGAGAGAAAAGGCACTGAAAAAAGTTAGTGTGAGATCACCCAGACCAGGAGGATCACCCAGACCAGATCAGACCGGGAGGCTGACAATGGTCTACCCGTATCAATCCAGAGTGTTTCCCAGGAGTGGACACATAGGTTCACTTTTACAATCCAGAATCCTTTGATAACAATTTGGGAAGCTTAAGGAAGTTGTTCAGAGATTGCTGTTTTCAAGCTCAGTAGATGAAGCAGTTGGATGTGATTCTTTGTTAGGCCCCTCCCAGCACTCACTCACAGGCAGAGGAGGAAGTGGCTACCACGCCAACCTAGAGCGTCCTAGGAAGTGCAGACAGAGGGCCTGGTTTCAGTTTTGAGTTTTGGAATATGGAAAGGGGAAGGCTTCAGCATTTCTTTTCAACATTGAAAGGAGCCCTTCTGAGATCCATACATTTATGCCAGTCCTGTGTTCACTGAGCCCATTTCTTGGTAACATGGGGAGAGGAATATATGTAAAACAAGTGGTTAGCAATAATAAAGTCTGCAGGTTTAAGATATTATCATGTGATAAAATACTCAGTTGTTTTATTCAGATATTTCGAAAATAAGACAACAGAAAAAGTACTCAACGGCTTTGGATCACTTTAAGTGGAAGCAAGGTCACCTTTCATGTCGCCCTTAAGGAGTGAGTGACTGGTTGGGACAACTAACGTGTATGAAGTTGTACTGTTTTGAATGTACATTTAAAATTTTTTTCAGTAAAAATTTTTTAAAATGTAATTTCTTTATCAAGGAGGGGTAGACCCAGTTGATGAACTTCATGAAAGCTATCCCAATAATGATTTCTTTGTCAATTTTTAAGATTCATTTACTTGTGAATCTGTAGGTTACAATGCAGTGCATAGTGTAAATATCATGATACTTATAACACCCTAAACACATACTTTTAAAATAGACTTTATTTTGCAGCTAAGTTTTAGGTTCATAGCAAAATCGAGTGACACAGATATTTCCCATGCTTCTCCCCCAACTTACCCCAATATCAAAATCTTGTACCAAAGTGACACATTTGTTAACTGATGAACCTACACTGACCTGTCATTACTACCCAAAGTCTATGGTCTACACTGGTAAAACCCTAAATATTTGAATTCCATGTACTGAGGTGAAACATTGGTTAGTTCAAATGCTAGAGATGTTGGCACAATGTAACATCTATAACATCCAGTCACCAGAGAAAAACAATCTATAACTTGTTCTGTAATCGACAATGCTATGGACACATTAGGTCTTTCAGTTTTTAATTTTAAAATGGTTATATAATACCTGATGGTCTTCGTTTTAACCCTTGTGAACCCTAAATCACTGCTTCTCTGGAATAGCATATGGTTATAATCTGGTTTATGGTTTGAAACTAAATGGAAAACTAGGAGTATAGGATATAGGCAACTTTAAATATCACCATTATTTTTATGTGAGTGGGTAATTTCCATTTTAAAAACATTCTAGCCAAAAGTTTTGTGTGCTATTAAAATGAGTAAGAACAGATCGAAAGATTTTTAAGAGACGCTGATTTTTTAATATTAGCCATTTGAGATTAAGGACTTAATGAATAAAAAGGATTTTATATGTTGTATAATGGGTATTTTAATAGTGAAAACATATAAAATACGCTTTGGAAAGGTCTAGGGTTGTCCTCTTGCCTTCTTTGACCTCACTGGAGCCATGCAGTACAGAAACGATTTTTTTACTTTTTTCCTCTTTGACATTTGATTCCTCTTCAGAGGAATCCACAATAGGAGATAAAAATTGCGGGGACAAATTGCAAGAATAATGCTGAAAGGGTTTTCACTCTTGTTTATTTAAAAGTAATCCTGGTGGGGGAAAAAGTCATCTACTTAAAAATTAAACTAAGAAATTTACGGAAGGAAAGTGCGTCCCCTAAACACCTGGAAACACACGCCTATGCCTTTGCCCTAGGAAATAAACAGATAGGCAGAGGCCAGCCCGCAGTAGTTGAGGGCTTGGTTTATTCTGGGAGGAAAAGCGCCCCCCATCCTAACCCCCGCCCCGCCGCGGTTCAACCGAGGCTGTCCAAGCCCTTGCAGCCGGGTCTGTGTGCCGGGCTGTGCCAGCCCCAGGCGAGGGGAGTGGTTCCAGGAGCTGGGAGCCCCGACTGCCTCGCCCTGGACCGCAGCGCTCACACCGCCCGGGAAGGGCTTGAACTTTGCCCTCGCTCTCCTCCCGGGTCCGCTGAGACCCGGGGGAGTGCGAATGCAGTGACGTCTCCGCTCATTTCAGTTGCACAATAGGAAATGCTCTCGGCCTCCCCCTTCCTGCCTGGAGAAAGTGGGGCTCGCTTCTCCCGGCGGCCGACGCCGCGCCGGCCGAGACCTAGTTTCGGGGCCGCAGCGCCGGGCCGGCCCTCCGGGACGTTGGCTCCCGGGCGCCCGGAGCAGGGACACAGGAGGATGCACGTACGTGCACAGCTCACTTTACGAGCTCGCCAGGGTACGCCACTGTGCTGAACAGACGGGCATGTCGGGCGATCACTGGCCTCGGGGAGACCACGTCACTTGCATAATAGAGAGAACACCCGCTCAGGTCAGGTGGGCCAAAAGCATTGGCGGGCTCCAGAAATCGGGCGAATAATGCTGAATAATGCTGACTGCAGCGGGCCTGAGTCGACTTTTTAATCACCTGGATAGAATGTACAATCTCTCTCTTCACAAAGCCCTGGCAGGAAACCTCGTGTTTAACCCTCCTTCTAACTGTCACCTTTTATTTTGTTGTGGAAACAAAGATATGCATGTTTAGTGCAAAGCACAAACATCGTGCCTTTATGCACTTTGAGATAGAACCATTAAGAACATTATCTCAGTATTTATGATTTTAATCGTTACAATTTAGGTAGTGAATCTAGTTTTAAAAATGCTGGTGGTCCTGCCAATGTCAACAGTACCGTGACCCTGGAGGTACTATCCTCAAATTATAGACGGATTTTTACTCTTTTTTGAAATTTTTATTTTTTGGCCGTCGGTAGGCTTAAGCAATTCAAGCAAGTAAATCTAGCCTTTTAGATAAGGTATTTCAACTTGCATTGGTGATCTTTCAGGTTACATTTTAGAACCCATGTTTAGTACCAGTAACCTGTAATTCAGGGACATAGATCTCCAGTGTTTTACATACCTGGGACAGTGATGAAGAAGAGTATTATCAGCTGGGCAGTCGTCATTGTCCTAAGGCCTCAGCCTGACTCTTGAACAGGCTTCGTAATGGGAGATTGTTCTTTGGGCCACACAGCCAGAATGCCAAAGTTCACTGGGAGGTCTGCAGAGAGGATTTCATAGATGAAAATATTTACTTTTTCATAGTAAACCTAGAAATTATTCTAAATTGGACCAAACACTGTTTGTATGTTTAGGTTAAACTGAATCATCAAACTAATCACTGACCCATGCCTTTATAATTGTTGCTTAAATATTTTCCTTTAAAATAAGGCCCCGCAGGATCATTTAGTTGTGTATATAGCACAATGTGATTTCCCTGGGGACACTTTGAGCTGATTTAGGCAACAAGGAACTTGAAGATGATTTGAGTACATGTAGAAAGAGAGCTATAGCTTTGAACATCATATATTGTTTTAGATCGCCATTTCCTCTGACAGATTGTAACACAAAGATCCTCTCTTTTCATCACCTGAGCCTCACTAGGGATGTTATGGTAGCGCTCTTACTTGGCTATGAAATGCACAGAAATATTTGTGCAGGTATTCTCAATGGCCCGCCAAAGGAAATAATGTTAGAAGTCAAGGACAGAGGGTGAACTTGTGGCTCCTTGGTACTGCACCAAAGAGAGCAGACTCCATTACAGTACAATCTCAGTGGTTAAATGGATTCAAGAGGCAAATGGGGTGGTGGGAATGAAAATGTTTTGTAAAAGTGGAAAGCACTATGCTAACGCAAGATTAGTTTTTTCTATGATTCTTGTTCCTTTTCTCCTTCTACAGTAAGATTATATATAATGTTAACAAGGAAAACTCTAAAAGTGGATGTTAGTTTCATTCTTTGTGGCTCCATGATATTGGGTCCCCTGAGCTATGGTTATTTGCTCTGTAATAGGGTGGAACCACTTTTAAACCCAGCTTGGTCGTTTATAGCACTGGTGTTATGAAAGTATTTATTTAGCAGTATTAATATAAGGATCAATTACTCCAGATCTGTATTAACAGTAATCCTCAGTTTTTTATGCAGCATCTTGTTGGAGGTGCTAAGTAGGATCTTTAAACACATTAATTAAATCTTATAACAACCAGGAGATTAACATGCTATTTTATGAAAATCACCATGTGAGAAGTTCTTATGGATTATACATAGAATTTGAACTTTTATAATATTAACCCAGACCCAACACCTCATTTATAGTCGTGGCCCAAACATATGTAATTTAATTCATAATTGAGTTATGGATTTATCTACTTTGGGGGATATATTCTATTATTTTAATCTGCGGAAGAATTTTGTGCCTTTGTAGTGACCAAAGCTACAGTTCTGATTAGGGTCAGTAGAAAAAAATCTTTTAGTTCTCACCTAAGAAGTTCGTGCCTCTTGGAGGAAAATTCTATAATGAATGCAACTCTCCGCTATATCTTGCAATCATAATTTGAAATATTTTTTAGAAAGTGTTTTAAAGGAATTGGTTGTCTACTGTCTGCTTTTTCCAATCAGCTGCACAAGCCGGGCAGAACTTGTCTGGTCCGTGTTGAATCCCCACTTCCTAGAACAGCACCCTGCTCCCAGCTGATGTCCAGCACACTGGGGCCCAGGGAAGAAATTCCGAAAATGATAGCGCTCTCTCTTACATTTCAGAGGATATTTCTTGTGCCTGGGCTGTAACTTCAGAATCCTCTTTGTGTCTGATGGCTTGAATTCTGCAAACATGAGACAATGTTTGCTTTTTTCAATGAACTGTAAACTTAGTCGGAGCACAATAGACATTTATTAGGTTGGAAAATATTAAAAGAAGCATCACATTTAGCAATATTGCATCCTGGGTGCTTTATTTACTATTATGATAATGTGCAACCTTCCTTTTTCATGGAAGGAGAGTCATTTTTATTTTTTTAATTTTATTTTTATTTATATTTATTTATTTATTTTTAAGATTTTAATTTATTTATCTTTAGAGGGGAAGGGAAGGAGAGAGGGAGAGCAACATCAATGTATGGTTGCCTTTCCTGCGTCTCCTGCTGGGAACTGGCCTGCAGGGAACTGGCCTGCAACCCAGACATGTGCCCTGACTGGGAATGGAACCGGGATAGTGTGGTTCTGACGCCCGTGCTCAATGCACTGAGCTACAGCAGCCAGGGCTAAGGAGAGTCATTTTTTTTTAAAAGCTTGTCGACTTCTTGATTTACAAAAGAAGACACATAGGGAGGCTAAAGAATAACGCACTTGAATTTGCATCATGTTTGACTGGCACTTAACCCTAAGGCTCTACATAGCAGTTTGATATCCAAAGATTCTTTGAGCTCTTAAATGTACTTTGTATTTGACCCTTGATTGCCTAACAGGATCTTTGATGCTGCATTCAGGCCTTTCAGGATATTGGGGATGTGGATTAAAAGCCACTGCTGTACATCCAGTGCCTAGAATGGTGTCCGGCAAAACCCAGGGGTTCAGTAGGGCCAGCTTTGTGGTGGGCAGGCATGAGACCCGTGCGGTCCAACCAAACCCCAAGCTCAGAGAGCTTTGTTTAATGCTCTGCTGCCTTGAAATTCTTGATTTTGGGACGGGAGGGGTTCTGTATTTTTGTTTTGCACGGAGCTCTGCACATTTTGTAGCTGATCTTGTTGCTACATAAATATTTGTGGCAACATTAGTGACTTAACTATAGAGTTTAGAAACTTAGATTTTACTTCTGAAAACACTGGTTTGTCCATGGGCCTTAGTTTCCTGTCTTTCTGTGGTGTAATGGAATGAAGTATAAATTGGGTTCAATCCAAGGAAGTATCTCGCCTAGAATATTATTTGGAACCAAGTATGAATGACCTTAAACAAAATAGAGACTTGTCCAAAGTGCTCAAAATATGCTCCTAGCTGGTTTGTGCTAAATGGTAGTGCTGATAGAATTGGGAAGACTGAGGCTAACACAGTGGGAAAGGTGGTGAGTAGGCTCACCTTTCTCTTAGGCTTTTCTTTATATCCTCAGTTACATTTTGGTTCATCTTTATTTACAGACTACTAACTTTCAAATATTTAACTATTAAACACTTACCCCAGTTATCAGTGATGTAATTATACCTAATCATTGATTTATTACTAACCAGTGTGTTGGATATAGAGCAGGATTTATATTACAACTCATGTCTTCGTTTTCTGGAGAATACCAATGAGCGCATCAGTTAATAGGAGAGAGCGTGCGGCAGTGGGAGGAGCTGGCTCCGGACCTCTGGTCCCTCCTTTGCATCCAGAGGCAAATCAGTCTTTTGAAAAAAATCTGTACTTAAGACTCTCCATGGGTGTAAATTTCCTAATTCTTGTTGAGAGCCACTCCTGTCACTTAATTGGATTTATGGCTGGAAAGGGGGAAGTGCGGAGAGCATGACCAGGAATGTGGGTTTCAGAGGTGGGCTGTTTGAGTTCCAATGTTGCCTCCACCACTTTCTAGATGTGTGGTTTTGGAACAAGTAATAAACTTTTTCTAGCCTCAATTTTCTTCTTCTGTACAACAGGGATAATTCCTAAAATGACCTCAAAGTTCCTTGGGAGGATTAAATGAACTAATATGGGTAAAGTACTTGATCTGGAGTTAGCACTCAATACTTGCTAAAGAGACCATGGTAAAAAGTCTGTTTACTTATTTGTTTGTGTTATGTATTATTATCAAATAGTAATTAAAAGCTTACGTGGCTACCTTCAAAAACTTCATGGTCTAGTGAGAGAACTGATTTATAATTCAAGGATTAAGACGTTGTGGAATAAATGCAAAAGGAGAAGGAAGTAGAGGAAAGTGATAAGAAGGTCTAGAAGGAGCTCTAAGCCATCCTGGGGGGAGTGGTGAAAGGGAGCCTTTCCTAGCTGGCCTTCCAACGTTAGTGGGGATCCAGAACAGCTTGGGGAGGATTTGAGAAAGCCTGGAGGCTGGGGGATGGTTGGGGAATTCTAAGTAGTTGGTGGCAGCGGAAGCTTAAAGGACAACTGGGAGATGATGTCATGTAGTGTAAAGATGTAGAGGCCAGACCCAGAGAGGAGGGAGGGCAACTAGGAAAGTCATATTTTACAAGCCACAAGGGTTATGAAGGGTTCAAGTGAGATAAGAGCTGAAGAATGATTTAATAATTAGGAGATGGTTGGTATTTATTCTTATCTGTCATTTGATTTTGAGAATGGGTGACTATTTAGGTTTTGACTATGGATTAAGTGCAGGGGAGACATTTAGACCGGACACAGAAGTTTCTAAGAGAGGATTAAGCCCTCGAATTTCCAAAAGAAGTTTCATAATCCATTTATCTCTACTGCTTTCTGATTGGGGTAAACCACCGGTTTGTAATTGGTTTATGGCCGACCTAGACGGTCGTCTTCAGTAGGGAGAGGGTGGCTGAG